CCTGCTGAATTGCAGGAGCATGCCTGAGCTTTGCAGCTTCATTTGCCAGCACTGCTCCTGGCAGTGCTAGCCCCCCTGCCCAGGCTGCTAGTTTCTCACACACCTGTGCAGTCCTGCCTCCTTTCCCCTATTCAATACCTACTTTTTAAAAAAAAAAAAAAAAAAGCCCAATCAGGGACCAAACCTGATCTGTGCTACATGCTGTCCAACCCCGGACAACGTCCAGGAGTGGGGCAGACACATAGATGCAGACAGAGATAGGAACAGCCAGACGGTAAGAGCAAGTGTGAAGGATGGGACCCTAGCTAGGGAAGCTAGGACCCTAGCTGCTGCTATAGCAATGCAGCTATCGAGGGGCAGCTCTTCCCACAGTTGCACAGGATTTCTGCTGATCCATGTCTTTAAGGCAGCTTTCCCAATTGCTTTTCCTGTATAGCAAAAAGAGCTGGTCCAGGAATTTCTATTTCACAACCAGAAATAGGTCCTATTTCATGTCTATGAGGTGTTGACGTGATTGCCAGTGGTCAGCAAGATCTTACTGTTTGGAGAGCACTGCTCCAAAACTCCCTGTCATGCTGGCAGCGATGCAGGATGCTTTGCCTTGTTTCAGCCACACCACAGGCTTTGGTATAGCAGTGATCTTTCAATTTTCAGTGCTAGACCTTCAGCTGAGTAGTTTTAAAATGATTAGCATTTGAAATAAGGCAGGTAGAAAAAGCAGCTGAAAAGGGTCATAGGAGAGAAAGCTGCCATGGCCTGTAAAACACAAAAACCACCTTTGGCTGAGGAATTGTCCAAGCTGAGGACTGCTGAAGATGAGGAAAGTAAACTTACACACTTTCCCTTTTCTTATTCTTTTCCCTGAGCCTCATCTATTAACTTCCATTGGATTCAGGATATTGAGCTAGCAATAATCACACTCTGACCCGAGACATCTGGCCTGATTATATTTAGCTTAAGCACCTTACAGTATGTTTTTATATCGTCACTTATTTATGTATTTTCAGCTGCCTTGATTTTCTAGCCTGAGAGTAACGTATCAGATGTTCCCTACAGTCATCTAATTGGAAACTTACAGTGAGACCAAGAGAATAGGTTTTGGTTTTTTTGCTTTTGTTTTTTCTCTTGACTAGTTTTGGATCAGGAACGTGGAAACCAGTAAGCTGAAAACTGAGAAGAAGTAAGAAATCCCACAGAAATCTCTCTCCTCTAGGCACCTTTCCTAACTCTTCATCGAGACGTGCTTTATTACAATAGTCTCCAGAGCCTGAGAGTATTTGCCCTAGGTTAGGCAGAGACGTTACTGAAAAGTCTTTCCTTTGGACCACCACGATCCTTCCACGATCTTAAAAAATATATATCTAAATAATTAGATTTCAAATACAGAGAAACCAACCTACCGTGTGAAAGAGCAGCACATAAATTTGTTTATTCACATGGTTCTGCTTGGAGTCTCAAAGCAATAAAGGATTTTCCACCACAATCTGAAACTGGCTGTGCCCTTGGGGCTGTTTATATATGATCTTCAAGAAGGGAGAGTTACACGTAATTCTGTTTTACTAGATTTCTCGAACAGGAATTGGATAAGGTTGGTCAGGGGTGGAGCCAGGACTTGTGTTGCAAATGTGTTTTTCCATAGGTTTTTTACAAGGTCAAAGGCAGAGTTACGGTACCCTGCAAGCTACCTCCCCTTATTCACAGGTCTGCTCAGTTCCTGTAACAGTTTGGTGTGAATTTTCCAGGTGACTTGGCAACTGAATCTTAAAAAGTTTTACTGTGCGAGGTGTTTTGTGGCATTTCTGATTACCTTAAAATAACTCTTCCCTATGGCTGTGAGCAAAACTCTGTTAACAGAGGGCCAAAATAAGACCGTGAATCTACCCATTCCTGAAGGTGCGCATGAAAGCGGGTACAAACCCCAAGTCTATTCCTGTCTGGTGGGCACGTGCTGTAATTGTCAAGCGGTAATTCAAAAAATAAGTGATGTTGCCAGATCAAGTGCAAAGGAGTGCCTGGTTGTATTGCCACCTCCGTTCAGGATGGGACTCTGCACCCAGCATCTTCAGTGCATCACGTGTAATCTTAATCGTCCTGCTACACTTAGACACAACCCGATGCCTGGTGCCCCCTATTAGTTAGCCAAGGCCTTGCTGGAACCTAGGGAATAATTCATGGCATCCTCAAAGAGATATCCAAGATAGGCAGGAGAAATCACACCCCAAAGAGCCTACTTCACCTCATTGACTGTGAAGGGTGTCCAGGTCCCATAGCTCAGCACTATGAACTGCATGGAAGATGCCTCAAGTTACAAGGGATAAATCCAATGTGCCCTGGCATAAGCTAAGTGGGCTGAATTTGGTCCATCGTCTTCATAGCCTTTGGTTGCATCTCCTCAGCTTGAGTAAGCAGGAGGGACTGTGCTGTGGCTTTTCCGAAGATTTGAGAGGGCAGAGACTAGAGGAGGGCTGATCTAAGGATGTAACATGGATGATGAATATTCGCATTCGCTGTACGTAGGGACAAACAGCAGAACCCAGTGCAGTCCCTCTGCAGGCATGCACACACACTCATGCATGCACATCCCTAGGGATGCTAACAGCAACTCAGCAAGTACAGATTTCAGCGTCCACAGGGAGCCACCAATCAAAGGCTGCAGGAGAAGAAACACCTCATGGTTTCGATTATAATCCATATCCTTGGGAAGTTCCCAGGTGAGCTAACGACCAGGCCATGTTGACCTCACACGTTATCTTTGGGAGATAAACCTCGTGTTAGCGCTGCAGTCCTTATGGAGCGGAATGGTTTCGCTGAACAGCTAAGCCTTGTTTAGCCAAGTTGATGTCGTTTTAATTCCAGAGTGTTAAATACCCTCGGGGCTTGTGAAAAGTCATGAGAAGTGGAGGCTAACCACTTCTTTGGGAACTATTTAATAATAACAATAACAAATGCTATAATGATGACGGTAATATGATGATTATTATCATCTTGATGGTGAATTAAATTAAAAAAGCAGCAAGGAATCTGTTTTCCTACAGTTAGAGCTCTCATTCACCGTTAGGCATCTTGTTGTGCATCTGTTCCCCAGGCTTCCTGTGGTTATCATTTCCCTTAAGCATCTTTGGGCGGGTCCAACGTTTGGCCAGGGCAGCTGGCAAGTAGCAGGGGCAGGAACAGAGCCACCAGTGTGGAGCGTCGCACCAGGGTTTGATGCCTCTTCCAGATGCACGGCACATTGCCAGCGTGACCGAAGGCTCAGGGGCTCGGGCCTAACAGCATCCAGGGACTGGCTTCCACTTCACAGTGGGACAGTTTCCTCCCTTTGGGAATAGTGCTCCTTCCTCAAGGGTTTGGATCTGAGCACCGCCAAAAGCATAATTTATCCTGGACCCCACCTGATTTTTTAATTTTCTCTAGGACTGGGTATTAGCCCGCACAGGAACAAGTTCCCAGCTTCCTCCAGTCTCTGCTGCCTCTTAGTATCTCTCTCACATACTCCAGGTCTTTATCTTCTACTTTTCTATGCCTGTTTTTCCTTCCCAAGTCATCCCTTCTGTCCTTATCCTCTCTAATATAAAAAGTAAAGTACTGCAGAGTATGGTGCATGCATAATTTTCTCCTTACGGGGTGGGTAGATCTTAGCGTTTGCAGCACACCCTCTGCCCGCTGTATTTTCTCTGAAGTGCAACAAAACACTTAACAGAAAAGAAATATTACAGTCAGTAGTGAAAAAGGAGTGAGAACCTACCTTGAACCAGTCTCAGAAGAGCTGAACTATCGCTTTGTTCTTGTCCCTGCAGAAGGGGCCCTGTGTTTCCTCCAGAGTGACCCTGCAATATATACCGGGTCACAAGTCTGCCTCTTTTTGTAAAAAAGGAAACTCGCAGAAAGGAGACGGATTGCTGTTGTTATTGCTCTGGGGAAATCTGTTCACTCCTGTCCAGAAATGGGGTAGCAATGGCTATTTGCCATTTCCTCAGGATCTCTCCCAAGTTTGCTGACTATGATCATGTGTCAGAAACAGATAACTGCGTCTGGTGATTTCTCTTTCCATTTCCTCATTTCCCGTGGTGCACAGCAGCTATTGCCGCAGCATCTTCACACGTTTCTGTTCCCAGCAGACGGTCCCTATGGGCCTGCCCTGCAGCCCTGGGCTTGCACATTTCTTGTGAGCTGATGTAAAGCTCACAAGAGCTTGAGATAGGTCAGCCTTTGCCCAGAGACAATTTTCCAGTAGCATGTAAAACGACATTGTTGTGCGCGCAGAGGAAGATAGAGTAAAGCAAGCGCTGAATTGTTTCAGTGGCATTAGACCATAGAGCCCGTCTTTCAGTACACACAGATCTTCCAAAATCTGCTCTTCTACAGCCTCTCAGAGACTCAGTATAATCAATGTGGTCAGAGTAAAGTGTTTCCTGTGCCTGACTGTAATGACTTTGTTGTAGCACTTGTTAATGCCATCTGACAGATTTTGAGGGCACATTGCTATCCTAAATCAGTGTGGAATCCTTATTCATTTACATTTTTCTAGAAAATGCAGCAGCATTTAAAAGTTGCATCTCATTAGACAGGTCCTCTCCTGTATGTGCACCCATACCTGAACCACCGACCCTTTCCTCTTCTTTAATACTGCATTTATCAACTCCAAGTCCCATCTTTACAAAATGGCTGATAATCCAAATTGCCCTTTCCAGGCAGTAAGTATACAGAGGATTGCACATCACATCTGCCTTTACAGCCACCGCTGCACCCGTGTGCAAATAGGATCCCAATCTGTACAGAAAGGATGTTGGGTGGAAAAAGGGTTTCCTCCGTCAGGAGAAGCGGATAAAAGGTATTTTTGGGATGGATGCAGAGATTAAGATTCGGTAGGCTGCGTTCTCTCAACCTCAAAGTGCAAAAGTGACGAGAAGGGTTGACTCTTCTGGTCTCTCTAAGGCCAGCTGAAGGAAAGATGCCAGTTTCCTAGATTAACGGTGAAGTGGAAATGGGACTGAAGATTTTTAATGATTGTGGCCAAGAACCATTTGCAGTAACTGGGGTGTACTAGAGCTTGAGGCCTGCACTAGAAACGGGTATGTCCAAAGTCAGGAGCTGTAAGAAGGGTCCGCTGGCCTGAGCTGCCACGTCGGAGCAGATTTGAAGGGATTTTTTTGCAATGTTTTGTTTAAATTAAGGTTAAGAACTGCATGAAGCATCACTACTTTATCTTGAATTTCTCATTTCTATACAGACCTTCTAGTCCTCCTGTCACATGCTGTATGTCTTACCCTGCATATCTGTGTACTCGGAGAGTCCAGTTTCTCCAACCTAGCGACTGCTCCCTACCATACTACAGTCAAAGCATCAGGGGGAAAAAGGAATTGTCTCCTTGCACTGAATTTCACTTTTTGAGCTCTCTCCTTGTCCTCTGCGTCTGATTCTGCTACATTTTGTCAATGTGAGAGGTTGACCTTTGGAAGCGTGTCTCTAGGAACTGGAGCAACAGTGTTCCAGGACTCTAAGTAAAGACATTTGATTGACATTTGATTGACTCTAAGATTGACATTTATAAAGAAGACTAGCAAGAGGCTGAGCTTGATGTATAAGCAATCCTGGTTGGCCCTCTGCTTTTAACACAGCAAAATATCAGGCCACGGCTACACTACTGTAGCCTCACAAAAAGCCTTGTTATATAGAGAGAAAGAGAACAGGAAGCCAATTCCAAGTTTCTTTTTCTTTCACAAAGGACTCAAAGTATCCATAGGACAACAGTGAGCAGCCAGAGCAGGTAATGCAATCAATATCCAGCTGTGACACCAAAAGTGCAAGAGAAGCATAGCCAAAATTTTCAAAAGGCCTTATGCTGAAATCCCAATTTGCAGCGAGCCAACTTTGGATGACAAAAAGGTTTCCTGTTGCTATCTCCCATTACTATGGGTGGCTCTGTGTTACTGACTTCTTTCCTTATTACAGGTGACATGGGGCAGAGTTCTGGTTCATGCTGCAGAAGACACTCATAGGATCATATGATAATTCAGGTTGAAAGGAGGTCTCAGGCTCAGGATCTCGGGAGGTCTCTAGTCCAACTTCCTTCTCACAGCAGGGCAAGTCATGAGGTAGCAGTACAAATGAGGAGTCCAGCAGAGCAGGAGGAGGGAAGGCTACTGCGGAAAAAAAGGATGCCACCAAAGCCTTTTCTCGACTCCTTGGTCCCCTTGGCAGGAGCAAACTAATAGCCAAAGAGATGCTGAGCAGACAGAGCAGTGCAGGTCCTCAGAAAGGAGTAAATCATGGAAGAAGCAGTCAAGTGGGCATAAGAAAACAAAACGTGAGGAAGAGAAACATTACTCGGACATTTGAATTGAGGTGACGTATGCTGTTCTGGGCTGTTCTCCTTAGAGGGCAGCAAAGATCCTGGTATTCCTGCACCACAGGCAGGATGTCAAGGTGTCCAGACTCTGCATATGTCACCCTCATTTATCTGTGTGTCAGCTACTGCTTTTGGGAGGCAATCTGCTGCTGTGAGCGAGGGTAGAGAAGGAGCGTAGACACACCATGAGCTGGCAGAGCGGGTCAGTGCACTCTTTCGTAACAACCAGGATGCTGAGACATGTATGTCTCACATTACCTCTATGCTAATTATGTTCACCCTTATGAGGTGTTCCAACACTCGTGACCTTTAAATGAGGGTTGAAAAACTGACCCAGACCAGGTCAAAAGTTTGAGGTGCCCGACAGAGGCAGCTGGTCCTTCTGTTCCTTCCCAGTGTCCCAGAAGTGACGCCAAAGCAGCTCCCCCATGCAGCTCTCTCTTAATGAACACGGCCCGTCATCCATGCAAACAATATAACCCTTGTCCCGGGCCTTGTAACAATCATCAGATTTATGGAGAAAATTAGGGAAAAAGGTGAGGTTGAAAAGCTTTATTAGGTTACCCGTTCCTTCCCAGGGAGAAGAGGTGCATTTTGCTAATTTTAAATTATTTACCTTGAGTTATTCTTCTATGCAAAATGCTAAATAGCTACTTAGCATCCTTCTTGCCTTTTGGAGACAAAGGTGTTACATTCATCCTTTTCTCCATAAGGACCACTTGGAGACCACCAAGTGGTGTTTTTAATATATTATAGTTCAACTGGAAAAGTTGGTACGTGATTCTGATAGCTTTAGGGGCATTATCGCCATTGGACTGACTACCGCGGTCTCTGTACATGCAGAGCAGACAACACTTGGTGTCAGTGGGGTCTCATCTCCGTTACAGTCGAAACACCCTGCTACAAATACTCACCAGCTGACAGCTATCGGGTTGCCTGTGGTTTCTGTCACTCTTTCAGTTTCATTCAGCTTCAGAGACCAAAAATCAATCTGTAGTTTTCACTTTCCAATCCATGTAGCAGCACGGGGTCTGCTGGACAGTTAAGCAGTAATCGAAACCCCTTGCTACATATGCATGCCAGTATTTCTATATGTTGGGTGTTGCTGCGTGAAGAGAAGGCAGCAAGGAAAGAGCAAGATACTTGTCTAGGCGCAGAGGTAACAATGTGGAGGACAAAAGCAGTGATGTAATATTGACAGAAGGAAAACACAAACACTGCAAACCACCTCTTTTATGACGCATGGAAATCTTATACTAGCCTTATATAAAAACTTTATAAAGAAAGCAATAATAAGAGGTGCCCAGCTCCGAAATATCTATAAACGGGACGGATTCATTTATCCCAGCTCAGGCACTTAAAAAACTGCTTTCCAAACCCGCTTTTTATGAAGAGAAAAATATATCTCCGGGGAGAGGTTCATGCTAGCCTAAATTAGGCAAATGTAAAATGTAAAACTATGTAAAACCTTTCAAATAAAAGCATTTATTTATCTGTGTTGAGTACAAAGGCAACCTAGGCTGATATCCCTGACACTAATGTCTGACAATTAGATACTTAAAGCTTTACGCAAGACACGCATCATCTCTTGGTGACTCTGGTTTTGGAGTACAATGTCCATATCCAGAAGGAGCATTGCAAGCCAAGGCACACCGTCCCTGGAGGCACATCTCCAGGTTCGGAGGCAGCTCCTTCCCACGGACCCAGGAAGAACCACAGGGCAGCTCATTTCTCGCACTGCACTATGAAAATTAGCAGAGAACATCCTAATACCTTTTGTGACCTCGAAGTTGTTGCAGATGCAGTCTAGGTTATGTTAGATAGATGGGTTTCCCCGTGGAAGAAATCATTTGCTCGAAGCTCGAGAGACTCAACCCCATGACTCAGGGTGAGAAGGCCTGACTCCCTGCTGATCTTAGGGTGCTGCATTAAGAAAAGCAAGCGTCAAACTAATGGGGAAATTTTGCCAGCGAGGGCAGGGCTGGGCAGCCAGAGATGGAGGAGATGTATCTCTGTGAGAGCAAAAGGAGAGATCAAGACACGTTTGGGAGGTCAGGGAGCAAGGATCACTCCTGGCTAGAAAGTCCCAGCACTGCCTCTTCACATGGCCCGGGTCTTGAAAAATTAGGGCAAAAGAGAAGCGCTAGACAGGTTTGGGATTTATCCTCTCTCTCCTTGGAATATTTGCATTTCCTTGGCCTTGGGAGAGTCCTTTCTTCCATCTCTTTGTGTTGCTTCTCCCTCAAAGGACTTGCCTCATTCAATCTAGCAGCCACTGTGGCTTCAGCAGAAGCTGCTGTACCTGCAGTAGTTAACCACAGCCTTCACCACAGCCTGTCAAGGCGATTAAAATTAAACAGCTGTCAGGATTAGCAAGCCTTGGCGAACAAGTGTTCTCACTTTATCTGCAAGCCTGAAGCACGTCCCGTTCCCCACCTCCGGGCTTTGTTCACCTTTATGGGCAGCAGATCACTCCCCTCCAGCAAGGTACAAACTTTGTCCAGGGAAAAGCAGCAGCACCCAGCGGATGTGTTGCTCTGGTTGGCTGCCGGTCTCACTGACAGCGAGGGAAATAAAAAGGCTTTGGACAGTAAGTTGAACTGGAAAGTAATTCCAGTTCAGTTGTTCCTCCAGGAAAATGGAAGTCCCAAGGCATTAAAGTGGCTCTGAGGCTTGAATTTGTAGGATTGTCCTTCCTCCATCATGCACTGATAAAAGCACGTTTATTTATAAGCTATAGCAACAGTCATGGCTGTGCTTTGATTTCATGAACAGGTCAGCTCTTACAGGTTCTTACAGGAACTAATCCGTGCTACGGTTTTTATCCAGGTATGTTTTTAGGAGGATGAAATGTCCTTATTAATTAATGCAACATTTTTATTAAGTCTCCTTTGATTTGTCTGCCTGGAAGACTGCCATGTACATGGACTCCTAAACCCTGTTAAATGTTGACTAGTCTGAATCCACCCTGAAATATGCTACCAAGGTGGTCAGAGGCCTGGAGCACACATCTTAGGAAAGGAGGTCGAGGGAGCTAGGCTTGCTGAGTCTGGCAAAGGGGAGGCTAAAAGGTCCCAATAGCTGCCTACAACTAGTTGAAGAGTAACTTCAAAGACAACAAAAGCAAGCTCTTTTTGGCAGAGCAGGAGAGTAAAACAAAGGGCAATGCCACAAACTGTGGCTTGGGAGGTACAGGATAAAACAGGACAGCAGGATAAAAAATGTCATTGGGAGTACAGTTTGCTGGGAATGAAAAATGATGAAATGAAGTGACTCATGACTTAGCTGGGTGAAACCACGGCTAAGCTTGGTGAGAGCTAACAATGTTTCTGCTTCAGTCGGGCAATGGGATTAGAGCCCTCTAAAGGTCCTTTCCACCTAACCTTTCTATGATGCTATGATGGACCAACACCCCCCGCACACACACCATATTATGGTAGATCAGGGATGGTCAAATTCTCTGGTCTTGAGAGTTGCACATCAAAGTCCTACAGCCCAAAGACACGAAAAACACACCACGTACCTCAGAGATCCAACGGAGGGAACGATTTCAGATCCAGTGTACAGACTCCTTCAGGGAATAGACGGCTTCCCAGATGAGATCCTGTCAACTCACTTCCTCCAACAAAGAGAGACTAAGGATCTCCTGTGGTCTCTGCACCAACCCATTTCTTCTGCTAGTCATGTAAAATGGCCCAGCCATGAGGACTGCACTTCAGCTGTTCAGGATCCCCAGGTTTGCCATCTCTGCAATAAGCACGGTATGCTACTACACATTAATTATGCTGAGGGTGATTAGCAGTTATGTTGACAGGAAGATTTCTGGCTAAGCTCATTCTGTACGGAAATTAAGTTGTTGACTGTGAGTGGAAATACGTCAGATCAGACAAACTCCAGAGGAAGAGCCTTGTGGCTATTTAGAAAACTATCCCTTTGCTCAGCGATCGTACCTTGAGCGATCCCTACTGGACCTGGCATGCTCTGAAGTCTGTGAATGCAGCATGGCAGGAAGAGGCAGCTGACTAGAGTGAGCAACCCTGATCTTTGCTTCACCTCTGTTCTGAAGACATCAGCCCTAGCAGGTCAGTGATCACTGCCTCTAGCCAGAAAGGATATGAAAACGCTTGCATCATGTTGGTACAGGAGTCTGGCAGATCCCCCCAAATGCAGGCATCATCTTAAGGTAAGAGAGGAAAGTTCTGATTTAAAAGAAAGCCTTCTGAGATGCAGAAGCTTCCAGGAGGGACCTCTCTCCAGTTAAATATAAACCTAGTTGTGTGCTTTGTCACTTTATAATTCTGTCACTTTTTTTTCCCATTATTGAAAATCCAGACTTTTGAGTAAACAGATCCTTCATTCATAAATCTTGCCCAGTGCTCCTAGGCTCCGCTGAATCCTGAACATATTTAGGATAAAAGGAGCCGACAAAACACTTGACTTAAGGGAAGGTGATCAAATCACTGAGTATTAGGTGCTAAAATGCCATTAAAATGTTGGTCTTAGGACTGCCTTCAAAACGCCTACTACGTATAAGGTAAAATCTATGTTTTAGACACCAAGAGCAAACAGCTGTGGGGTCATGGATCTCCTACAGTGGATGGGGAGCATTAGCCAACCACTTAAGCTGGGTGCATATGGTACAAAGTCAGTGTAAGACCCTTTGCTTTTTGATTGCCTGTGATATGTGATATTAATGTTTCTCAAGTGCATTTCAAGGATATATATGTTAAATATAAATTCGCCTCTCCTATGAAGAAAGACTGCAAGAGCTGGGCCTGTTCAGCCTGGAGAAGAGGAGATTGAGAGGCCATCTCATAAATGTGTACAAGTATCTGAAGGGGGAGGGTCAAGAGGATGAGGCCAGCCTCTTCTCTGTGGTGCCCAGCGACAGGACAAGAGGCAACGGGCAGAAACTGAAGCACAGGAAGTTCCATCTGAACCTGAGGAAAAACTTCTCTCCTGTGAGGGTGACTGAGCATTGGAACAGGTTGCCCAGAGAGGTGGTGGAGTCTCCTTCGCTGGAGATACTCAAAAGCCGTCTGGAAGTGATCCTGGGCAATGTGCTCTAGAGGTCCCTGCTGGAGCAGGGAGGTTGGACTAGATGATCTCCAGAGGTCCCTTCCAACCTAAACGATTCTGTGATTCTGTGATTCTGTGATTGTGATTCTGTGATTCTGTGAAATACTGTGGCTAAGTCCAACACCCACACAATCTGCTCTCTACTACCTGCTACTTAAAATCTCAGTCCAGAATACAAGTTGAGGACTAGCGGGAATATGCAGCCAGCGCTCACATATAGAGGCCTGGTATGGCATCATGACATTTGGATGAAGGAAGTAGCCAGAACTCAAATCTTAGCCAGGAACGTTTCCTAATCATGCTATATCCCCAAGGAACTGGTCCTTGAAGGCAGACTGTCCTAGACAAACAATTGCAACAACCCTTTTCTATCTCACCCAGTCAAAATGATTCAGACTTACTTACATCTTTGCTTCCAGCAGTTTTCCAGAGCTCTGTTGATTACAGGGCAGGATTCATCCTGTTGAACACCTAGTCCCAGAGCTCCCTTTAGAGTCAATAAAAGATGAATGTGCATTTCCAGGGTATAGTTCATGCCAGGCAGGTGGAGTGAATTGCACCATAAAAGTGCTTACTTCTCTCCGATGACTATAGTGGATCCACAGGTTCATTTACACCTGTAAGATTATGCAAGATGAGTCCCACTTCATGTTGCCACCTTTATATAGGTGACGTCTATTTTATATTACTTACCTGGTCAAAGCATAATTAAAAATACAAAGGTTATTCTTTTTCAAGTCCTGTTGCTCACGGACAGGCCTCTGATGACAAACAGCCACTCCTCATTCATTCTCATTACACTGGCATGGCAGGAATTTTTGGGGAGCCAGGAAGTGAGGAGTTTCATAACCCTCCAGGAGGACCAGCTGCACTCACAGTGCCTTGCCGGGGCGGTAAGATGGTATCTTGAGAATAGAGTAGAAAAATAATCTATGTAGCAAGGAACAGGAAGGAAAGACATGTTTCACGCAATTCAGTCTTCAGGTTGTTAGATCCGGCTGTTCGATACGGTTAGAGAAGCTGACAGTGGCTGAGGGTCAGAGGCATTTTTTTTTTCTTTCTCCTTGGTAGGGATAGTGCAGATATTGGTGGGGTTTAGGGTAGTGTTCTGCATGTTACTCAAGTCTAAAATTGCTATTAGCAGCAGAGAAACACCTAGAGTGTGGAGGAGCTCTTACTAAACCGGCTATGGCTGGACGCAAATTTGGGATGCTTTCAAAGTGAACTTGAGAGCTGTTTGTGCAGATGATCCATGCCACTTCTCTCAGCCTGACCTGCAGCTAGACCTGCTAGCAGCGTGGAGGCAATGGGACAAACCAAGCGAGTTGGTGTGTTTATGCCTACTCTCAGGCTGCCTCTTCCCCTTGAAACACAGTCACAGCCTCTAACACTCCTCCTTCAATCAAGCTAGATGACCTCTGAGGGCTGAGCATCACCCCAAGAGGATCAGTAGCACTTCTTCATGGCCTGGATTTCTGCTGGAGACGCTGTGTCTCCAAACAAACACAACCATTGCCCACATGTTGCATGAGCAAATCCTCAGTTTAGACTCTATGGATGCAGAATTCAGTGCTCATTTCAGTATATGCACACCAAGAGCAAGTTTACTATAAAAAGATAGCTATGTCCATAAAAAGCAAGTGGGGAAATCTGAAATGGGTATTTCCGGGAGTATGTCAACGAGATACTGTGAGTCATGGACTGTGGTAAGCTAAACTCAGCATTTCCTTTGTTTTGCGGGTTTCTGCACCAACGTGGTTTTTAAAGTGTTGTATATGAGCAGCATGCCTCTTTCCAAGTAGGAGAGAGGAGTAGGAACAGTATGGACTGACAAATCTACAGGTCTAACTCAAACTGGTTGACAAAATGAGCAACAACAAGAGCCAAATTCTTCAGCGATGAACAAAGATTTTCCCCTAACGGAGGCAGGCATAAACCCAGCAGCGAAATACAGAAACCTGCATGCAGCCATTTCAGACTTCACCTCACTTAGCTCTTTGATGCCTTTCCCGAGATGAAGGAGCTTTCCTAGAACGTGAAATTCCACAGCAAGGACTGGCTGCCAGGGCCCATCTCGCAGTGGGAAACATTTGCCAGGGCGGAGGAAGTAGTTAATGGGGGTTAGAGAGCTCCGGGTGGGAGAAGACTTGTGTCCAGGCAGCCTGGAACAGCACTTGACCTGCCGTCCACCATGAAGGTCTAACCAGAGGCCATTGAGCTCTTGAAAAGAGAAGGCAGAAGTGTCTGCTAACATAAGCGTGGAAACCAGAACGGTAAAGCTGCTTTATAGGAGCTTCATCTAAAATCCAGACTGGCTGATAAGAGGCAGATCTCAGTCATAATAAACTGTGGAGATTTTTTAGGTGTTTCTGCATGTTTAACCTCGTGGGTTGAACCACACCTCGTTGCCCTCACTGGATCTCTAGGTTGCCTTAGTTGAAAAAGTCTGATTCACCAGACCTTTGCTCTACGTATAGACACTAACTTCTGGGCAAAACAAGAGCAAACGTCACCAGCAGAATTTGGAGGTGGGGAACTCTATATCAAAAGTACACCACCCCCCTGGTGGATGCATTAGATGCAAAGTAGTGGGCTTGTTCAAACTGTCCTACGTCAATACTCAGACACCTCATAAAATTCAGGCCAGTGAAGACCGTGAGCAGCCTAATCTACCACTGATGTCAGATCTGTTTTGAGGAGTCCAGACTCTCCAGAGGTCCCTTCCAACCTCAGTCTTTCTACGATGACTGCTAGGTTTTTGCCCGGGCTTAAGAAGCTGTGGTGTGTAAGCCTGAGCAGAAGCCAGATTTGTGGGTTTGGTGGTCTGCGCGTGGAGAATTACCCCAGAGGAGCAACAAATAAGGAGGCTGACCTAGAATGTGACACTTAAATCACCTCTCTTTTTTTCCCCTCCCATATCTGTTTGAAAAAAACTCTAAGTCTTTCTTCATTAAAAACAACAGTAACAACAAAACCTACCTTTGGCTACGGAGAATGCTACAGCACTCCGACACAGGGCAGAAGGACTGGATGTGGAGTCAAGTCCAACCTCAACGGGCCAATATCAACGGGCAATGCTTTATAAGATTATGAATGTTATTAAAAAGATCTGGAGAGTTATTCAAAATATGACCAAGAAACAGGGCAATGCAAGTGGGTAAGGCTGAAGCAACGGGAAAGGCAGAAAATACCAGGCTTTATGGCCTGGTTCATGTTCTTAAGTTAGCCGCAGACCTAAATCACAGTAATCAGCACAAAATAATGCATTTACTGATACTTTTCAGCTCTTTCGACGGTGAGAAAGGTTTCTGATAAGTGCAGACCTATTATCATCAGCGCTAACACTGTAACCTGGGAGGTGTACTACAGGAAACTCAATGCTGAGAAGGTAACTTATTCTTTTTATACCATTTTTATACTTACTCCTGAATATTCCCCGTGGACACCGAGGGATGCTTTGTTTGGAAAACGTGGTGGGGATGGTGGCACAACCTTGTTGTTAAAATCCATCCACTTATTTAACATAAACCTTTCAAAACATAATTCTTCTGCACGATCAAAACAGGTAACACCCTGCTTTAGCCAGATTTAGCCAGATTATTCCATTACAGAGTTGATCTCTCCAAAAGATAGCAGATGCCCTCCAGTCATTTGGGTATTATTTGTCTGTGCTTACAACATGAAGTCTTCCAGTCACCTGAGATTCTTTCTCCGCGTGTCACGCTATGTACTGAACTGTT